AAAAAAAAAAAAAAGAGAGTTTACCTTTCCCCTCTCTGTGGTTGTCCCTCAGGAAGCACCACTCATCATTGGAGGTACTGTGATGTTGCTGTTTTCCTCGGGAGTGCAGACCGTTGGACCGTTGTTTTTTGGCAAAGTTGTGGATGCCGCTCTCAAGAGCATGGGTGAGTTGTGCATGATTTGAAGCTACACAATTTTGAAAGATCGTTCAGTGACAATCCATTATATTGTTGAAATGATATTGTCTACTCTGCAAAACATATTTTTTTTGTGTGTTTTAGATGAATTGACCCATTCCGATTATTTTTTTTTCTGACGCACATCTTCTTGTGATTTAATTATTTTGCCTTCATTTTGATGTACGACTTTTGTTTTCTGTTTGATAGGATAAGTTTAATTCTTTTGTCTTCCTTTCGATGTACCACTTCTCTTATTTATGTGGTAGATAAGTTCATTAGGTGGCCCCTTCAAACATCACATTGCACTTGTCACATTCGGAACTCTCCGCTCTTGGCACAAGCTTAGAAACCCTTCAGGCTGGGAAAGAATTCTCTTGAATCACATCTATTTAAAGACTAAGAACACCACACAATAAGTCTTGTAACTAGCCAGTTTGTTGTATGTACAGTTGAAACTGTCTAAGACGCCCATCAATTGAGGAAAAAAGTGGCAATATTAGGCAGGTGGACGTCTTACACAGTGTCTTTATAGTGTAAAAAAAAACAGAAAGGGGGGAGGGGATGGGATGGGAAGTGGCCATTTGTATAGGTGATTGTCTTATTGAACTTATACAGGTGGCTGTTAGAGCAGGTTCAGCTGTAGTTTGCTGTTGCAGTCCCCTCTGGCTCTGGAACACATAACATTGTACACTTGAAATTGTCCAAAACAACCCTCCATGGTTGAGGAGGAAAGTGGTTGTCTTAGACAGGTCAGCGCTCGCACAGTGTCATTATGATATAATGAATAAAAAACGTAAAAGAGGAAGTGGGAAGGGATTGTTTGTACAGGTGGTTGTCTTGGACAGGTGGCTTTTAGATTAGGTTTGACTGTAGGTGTAGCATGTTTTGCTAAAAGACGCAGAACCTGCGATCTACCACCAAGTCTGTCAACTCACTCGGCTTCGTCCTATTGGAGATGGACGTTCAGTCAGAGGTCTGGTCTCTTAGATAACTTTACAGTGTTGACAGGGGCTTTAAACTCATACTGTTATAGCAATTCAAACTTTGAAATAGTATTTTCAGATGTTGCTCTTGTATCTATATTGTGTGGGCTGAAATTTGTGCGGCTTTTTTCTTCTCTTAAATAAGATAAGTAATTACAGTGTGACTTTGCCTTTAAATTTTCTTTAGTAATAACTTTAACGTTATGTATGTATAAGATAATCTGTACTGATGTGAAAATGCGGTTTTATGCTCCACCAGAAAATCATTGCATGCATGTGTTTATGAATTTATGCATGAGTACGTAAACCATTGTATCCCAAATTTTCCCACGAGGAGATAAAAAGAGAAGGTGGTTGGTCCTCCTTCTTTACTTTTTCTAAATAGTTTCTGTCTGTCTCTCTTACCTTTTCCCAGCTCAAAGTGACCATTATTATGTCTATGTGCTTCTCTTTACTTAAACAAATAAGTAAACAAGATAAACATGGAATTTTATCAAACTTTTATTTTTTCATTTTCACTCTGTAAGACGACCATCCGATGAGGAGAAAAATGGCAATATTAGATAGGTGGACGTCTTACACATTGTCTTCATAGTGTACAAAAAACAGAAGGGGGGAAATGGGAAGTGGCCGTTTGTACAGACGATTGTCTTATACAGGTGGCTGTTAGAGAGCAGGTTCAACTGTATTTCTAACTTCCAACAGATGAACTGAACAAGACGGTGCTCATCCTCATGGGCATCTACTTAGTGGGCAGTGTGTCCAGCTTGGTTCGCTCCTGGCTCTTCACGCTGGCCGGTCAGCGTCTCGTGGCACGGTTACGCTCCAAACTTTTCGGCTCGGTTATTGTTCAGGATATCGCTTTCTTTGATGTCAACAGGTGTGTATTGAGATACTTGTGTATATGCAGCTATCATTTACGCAGGATGCATGCGCACACACTTCCAAATATGTTTACTCGTGTAAAGATACCCCTGCATAAGGACTCGAATGTACATTTATAGACACATGCACTTAAAACCCATGCCTATACTCATGCAAAAACACGCTCACACCTGTATACGAGCACAAACTTCTGCAGTGCATAAACAAACATGCAGGCCTACTCTGTCTTTCTCTCTCTCCCTCACACAAGCACTCACATACACATACACACACACACACACACACACACACACACACACACACACACACACACATACTCATTCACACTCATGTGCATGCATATGCGCACGCATGCACAAACACGCACATGCACACACACACATACACATGCATTTGAACACACTCTTAGGCAGACGGTTGCATACATTAGTGTGAGGTGTTATGAGTGTGCTTGTTCGTTGGAGTATGTATGCATTAAAGTTTTTTTGTTCTATATATCTCATATTGAGCAAATGTGTGTGTTTCGATAGCATGCCCCATTTATCGTCCTTTTACAAAAATTTTCTCCTCTCCCAATTAGGACTGGAGAGCTGTGTAACAGATTGTCCTCTGACACGCAGGTGTTGCAGAATGCCCTCACGGTGAGTCTCGCAACATCATCAATATTCCATGCACATTATCCATGGTCAATTGCTTGCTTGCTGTGGCTCAGTATGTTGTGAACTTGATCTGCCTCTCGAAAGTTTATCTCTCATCTTGTCTCATATCTCATTTTGATATATTGATCAATTATTGCGCATTATCATTTCTTGTCCCATCTTACGTTATGGGTTTTCATGTTGTCCAGCTTCTGCTCATCTTAATCTTATCATATCTTGTTTTAGTTTTACACATCTCATATCGATATTTTCGAACTGCACTTTCATCACTTCTTTTATCATGCCTTTTTATGTTGTCCAAGCTCTCCTCACCTCTATCTTATCATATCTCTTTTTTTTGGGTCTTTCTGCAACATCTTTTTACCATATAATTCGTTCTCTGGACTTGTAGTAATACCTTTGAACTTTGAACTGCCTTTGAAATCATTCTCTGAACTTTTAGTAAAGTTGACAATGTGAATTGGTCATAGGAAGCAAAATCTTATCTCATTTGGTCTAATCTTATCTTATCTTATCTTACCTCCAGGTGAACATTTCCATGCTGGTCAGGTACCTGTTGCAGATCCTGGGGTCCCTGGGCCTCATGTTTTACCTGAACGCTTCACTGACCGGAGTCTTGCTGGCGGTTGTGCCCATAGTGTCACTGGCCGCTGTGCGATATGGTGGGTAAACAATTGATTATAAAAGTTTTTCCTCCTCCCATTGATAGAATGGATTGTTGGCGGGTGCTCTTGTGGGGTTTGCTCCTTCTTTCCTATCAAACATCTATCGTCTTTATCTCTTCTCCATCTTTTTTGTGTTTGTTACTCTCTTGTAACACCTCTGATCTTTTTGGCACTTTTATGACCTTATTGTGCTGCAACTGCTGTGAAACTTTTATTAAAACTAAACCATTGTCAGAATGTAAATCATTTTGGAGGCTAGCTGTTTCAGCACTGTTTTTAAGGGCAGTCCTTGGTTGAGAGGGATACAGCTTAGAAGCAGAAAGACTCAGTGGAATTATTTTCCTTAAATGGGAATCAAACTTGTGTCTTCTGTGTACAATTGTGGAGAGATTCACCGTTGAATACCATAACTTTTACACTACACATGTTGCTGATATTCAGTTATTTTATCGAGTGTCCCCTTCTTTCTGCTGTATCTCTCTCAGCGTCGGGTTGTTCCTTATTTGCAGAGTTGGAGCAGTTCACTTCCTAAATCACCTATTTTGTATAGATGGGACATTTGTCAAATTTTAATTCTAATAATGTAGGTGGTTGGAGGGTGCCACTGGCCGGTCCTACTTCTTTATTTTTCCTCTGTTTTTTCAGTCTGTCTGTCTTCGTTTTCCCCAGTGCTCAGTGACCCAAACTTAACCGTACAAACAAACTTCTGATCATACTCGCCTTCTTCATACTATCTTTCTAACCTCCGGGGGCAGTGCAACTGACTGAAGTATCTTTGGGCCATTTCCAAAGGGGGGACATTAACCATGTTCTTATGCACAGTAGAATTGTAATTGTAAATGGGATGATTCATCAATGTCATGCTTATAACTGTGCCTAAACTGCAACAGGGAGCTCCTGCTTTTTCTTTCCTAATCCTTACTATCGTCATTTTTCCTCTGCTTCTTTTGTATGTTTGTCACAATCTTGTGACCCGCTATTTCCTGGGTGCCTTGATAGTCGAAGCAGACTTTGTGCTGTTGAAGCTAGAGAGGTGAGCAGAGTAAGCTTAATTCTCTGTAAGGACTTCTCTGTTGACATCCACCCCTTGACCATATGACCTTATGCAGTTGCGAGCGCTGTAAACTTCTACTGAAACAAAACAATACTATCTTTCTGTCTCTTTTTCAGGCAAATTTGTGCGCAAGATGCGACAGAAGTTCCAGGACCGTCTGGCAGATGCCGGCACACAGGCGGAGGAGTCATTGTCGTCGGTGCGTACCGTCCGGTCGTTTGCCGGGGAACTGAAGGCCATAGATCTCTACACCGGGACCGTCATGGAGAGCTACAACATTGGGAAGAAACTGGCTCTGGCACAAGGTATGAGTCACTATACAGTCAGGGATGAGGCTGAGGCTTATTGTCTGTCAAACGTCTTTGCCCTCTGGGAGAAATTGGAAGTGGAAAAAACCCACCATTCTGTCCATCCATTATTTACATCTCTTTGCCTTCTAATTCGTTCTCTGTACTTGTAGTAATGCCTTTTAAACTTTCTAGTGCTGCCTTGAAATTTATTCTCTATAGTTCTAGTAAAACTGTAAGTTCAGTTTGAATCATGCTGAGCTATGGGAGGGATGTTCCTAGTTCAAATCCCTGGTTGAAACATTTACTGTTGTAGAGTGTACGTTTTGGTGCTCATGAAGCAATTCTTTGTCAGCAATTTATTTTTAAAATTTTTAGTGATTTTGACTGTGCCCTTTGTTCTATCATCTGATGTATTGAAATCTTACAGAGGGACTCATATTTCATATTGTCAACTGAAAGCCAAACTTGTGTAATGTTGGGAGAAAGCATTTTGGAAAGGTGAAAAACTTATTCAGAATCAGAAAAAAACATTTATTCTTGTTTTTATAATAAAGTCTTTAAAAACTGTTACAGGTTGTGTAAACTGTGCTGGCACATGTGACTTGTTTCATACCTTTGAGTATGTAAAGATATAAGTCTTCTTACCAAAATCTTAGTACATTATTTGAATTTTGGCCGTGATATAATAATAATAATAATAATGATGATGGCGATAATTATGATAACAACATTGATAATTGTAATGGATTGTATTATAGCCTTTGTCTCTATATAAAGAGAGTAGTCTGGGTACAATTTATTATTACCCCGACAGATTCCGGAATTTACAAATTGTTCTCAGCTTTGCAGGAAGCAGTCAATTCAATTTGCTGTTTGCACTCAAACACTACCATACTGATATTATCTTTGACTGTCTGTAGCAGTGGGCCCATCATCATCAGGGTAGAGTGAAGAATATTTGTGGAAAGTTCCACAATGTTGGGGCTCAAACCCTCAGTTGAACCTGTGACCTTATGGGTACGAGTTTTGCAACCTAACCACAAGACTACCGACATCACATATGGATGCTCAGTGTAAGATTCCGTCATACGTCACCTTTCAAAATGACGTATGATACAGTCTTACACTAAGGGATTGATGTGCAATTTTCTAAGGGCTTGTTGCTCCTAGCGAGCTTTAAGACTGGTGCCCTTGATATTTCAGTAAAATTTTCATCTTGTGCATGAAAGATGAATGTTTCCTGCAGGGCAACGATTGTTTTATTGAGTGTGTCTTTTGCTGTGATGTAGTGTCGAACGCAGATTGTATTGACTCCAGGGGTGAATTTTTATCAAGTACTTTCGTTTTCTTCTGGGTCATTTTATCCCTTTCAGCGCAGGTGGCCCTGACAGACAGGGTCAAAGCCCACCTCCTCAATTATCTAAATGGTATCGATGGGGGCTTAAAACAGCTACATCATAAATAAAAGGGAATTGACCCTTGAAAATAGGGTCAAAGCCCACCTTCTAAATGATCTGAACAGAGTTGATGGGGGCTTAACACTCCTACATTATTTTTTATAAGGGAGTTGACCCTCCAATATAGGGTCAAAGCTGTTCTTTTCCCCTGAATGATATTGATTGTTTCATTTGATGTTTAAAACAAATTCCATTGTCACAGGCACCATGGACGGTCTTTTCTCCTTCCTGGGCTACGGGGCGGTGACGGCGGTGCTGTGGTATGGCGGGAAACTGGTCCACGATAACACGGTGGACTCCAGCACTGGGATCACCGCCGGACTCCTCACCTGTAAGTACATCTCACTTGTAAGATTATCTCACTTGTAAGTACATCTCACTTTGTTAAGTTTATCTCACCTGTATGTCCATCTCTCTGTATATTTAACTCATACTTGCATCCATCTCTCATTTATCTTGTCTGTAAGACCATCTCACCCATATTTCCATCTTTCCTGTAAGAAACACCTGTATGTTAGTACAGAGACCCCTTGTTATGTTTTGATTTTAGTGTCAGACAGGGACTATGAACAGGTAATTGGAGGGTGTTACTGATAGTCCTACTTCTTTAGTTTCCCTTTTTGATTCTGTCTCTCTGTCTTACTTTTTCCCAGCTCTAAATGACCATTATTGTGTCGATGTGCTTCTCTTTACTCAAACAAACCAACAAACCAAACGGACTACAAATATAACAAAATAAGGAACATGACTGGCTTTGTGTATGGTAGGACACCAATCGATGACCAGAATTCTTTTTTTTTTTTGTTTTATGTACTTACTTTATTATGGGAACAGAATAATCTCTTCTTTCCCCAGCATTCCTGCTCTACACTCTTCAAGTTGCCATGGGTTTTGCCCTCCTCTCTTCCCTCTATGGAGATTTCATGCAAGTGAGTTTTAAGAGTTCATCACATATTTTTATGAATTTTTCTTTATTGAAGCTCTGTATAACCATCATTTTATTAACTGGCTTTTCTTCACATTTCTGTGTGGCATCTGTAGTGCGATAATGTAGGCTCTTTGCTCTGGGATGTTATTTCATTGAATATGTCCATCTGTCTGGTGCGATGTTGAATTCCACTCTGTCTGGGTTGGCACTCACAGGGACAGGTGTGGTCCAGTAAGGTGTGAAAGTTTGTTGTGCACAAGCGAGAGAGAAGAAATTGTTCTGATGCTTATTTGCTGGAACTAGTAAAAGTATGTTTAAAAATCATATGTGCATCTTTAATATAGAGGAGATAAGCCTTGCAGTTTTTAAGTCATTTTGCAGTGTGCTGTAACTTTCAGCGTCTGTAATGAGATAGACTATGATGCTCACAGAAGTGAAATGAAAAAGAAAGGGGATAGAAGATAGATAACGGGGTGGGGAGAAGGGATCACTTGTCGGACACCAACTGATGACACCTGTGACCATGGCTGTGTTTGCTTGTTTGTGCCCCACTCGTCGCCACAACAGGCTTCCATCTTCCCCGTTCTCTGCTTTGACGTATGTGAGGAAATGTAAAAATAATTACAATATAGTACGATCTCCATTTTCCTTGTTCTCTGCTTTTACGTGTGTGAGAAAATTTGAAAATGATTACAGTATAGTACGACCTCCATCTTCCTTGTCTTCTGCTTTGACGTTTGTTAGGAAATGTAAAAATAATTACAATATAGTACGATCTCTGTCTTCCCTGTCCTCTGCTTTCACATATGTGAGGAAATATAAAAATGGATACAGTATAGTACGATCTCCATCTTCCTTGTTCTCTGTTTTTACGTATGTGAGAAAATGTGAAAATGATTACAGTATAGTACGATAAATGACCACTGGTCATCATTCCATGTGTTTTGTGTTTGTTGTTGTCCTAGGCTGTTGGGGCTTCTGTGCGGATCTTCACTCTCCTGGATAGAAAACCGGAGATGTTCCAGCCTGTGAACCCTGTGGTGTTGCCGTCTCTCTCTGGTGGTAAGTGTGTGAGTGTGTGCGTGTGCGGGCGTGTGTGTATGTTTGTGTGTGCGTGTGTGTGTGTGTGTGCGCATGCGCGTGCATGTGTGTGCATGCGTGTGTGCATGCATGTGTGTATTTGTGTGTGTGTGTGTGCGTGTGTGTGTGCATGTCTGCGTGTGTGTGTGCGTGCGCGCGCTTACATGCCTTTTAGTAAGTGAAAGTGAGGTCCTAAGGTTCTTTTGTGTTTTTTCTGTAATTTTTCTTTCTACAAGAAGGATGTATTGACAGTAAGATACTTTTTAGAAATGCCTAGTGTATGTGGAATAAAGGTGACAGCACAGAGATTTTACAAATAATTATTTGAGCTTATACTCAGATCAAGAAGTGTATTTAGACATTTACAATATGCAAAATGCCAATTCATTTTAGTGTTGTTGTTTTTTATCCTTCTCAGAAATAGAGTTTAAGAATGTCATGTTCAAGTACCCGTCAAGACCGGAGAATGATGTGCTAAAGGTGAGGGCTGTTTTATAGCTTGCTTGTGTTTTGTGTCGGGTTGGTGACATTTAATAAAAATTGTTGCGCTATTGTGGCACAAATCTAAACATTTGACCACTTCAGCATTATCTCAATTGCTGGCCACTCTGCTGAAAGTTTTGGTTCATGCTTCTGAGCCGGTAGATTTTTTTCTTTCTTAAGCATGCACATATGTATTTCCTGTGGGCTGTTATGAGTAGTGTTCTTACTGTTGCCTGCTCTAGTGTTGTATGCTCCTTTTACTTATTTTTAGCGTTTTATTGTCTCTATATCATTCTTCTTCTTCTCCTCCTCCTCCTCCTCCTCATCATTTTTATCATTATTATTATTACTATTATTGTTGTTTTAGTTACTACTGTTTATTTTCACTTTTATGACCTTTATTATCATTAATCCCAAACGGAGTTAAAAGTAAACTGGACATAATTTTGGTATATACGTCTTTCTTATTTCCTCCTCCCGCCCCCACCCCGCCCCGTCCAGAAAATTTCGTTCCGAGTGGAGCCTGGTCAAACAGTGGCTCTGGTGGGCCCGTCAGGGGGAGGTAAATCCACAATTGTCAGCATGATTGAGAGATTCTACGACCCCAACGAAGGAACGATTACTCTCGGTGAGTGAAGGTGTTGTATGTGAGGTGGGTGATTAGAAAAAGGAGAGGGGGAAAGTGTAGTGAAGTCAAGCATTCTTCGGACAGGGTCTCATTGAAAGTAGAGATTTTTTAGGCATTTTGATGAGATTCCTCTTTTTTACAAGCAGAAAACACGTTTCAAAGTGGCGTCTGTAGTGTAATAGTTTGGCTCTTTGCCCTGTACGCTAAAGACGGGAGTTCAATCCTTCATCTGTGGTGAAATGGTGGGACCCATTGGCGTTGCCAGCAGCAAACAAAGGTTTGATTTCGCATGTGGCCAGGGCTTTCTTTTGGTATGAAATCTAAAATTGACATATACACCACTAAACTGGTCATTAAATCAAAACAAGCGAACCTATTTTGATACTTCTTTATCTAATGTCTGAACTCGTGGTGACCTGTTTTTGGCAATTGCTGAAAAGTAATTTGATGCCAAAGTTGTCCTAAAGGAATATGCCCAAGCCACTGCCTGCGGCTCACCGGCACTGTGGTTCCGACCACAATCCCCTGGGAGTGGCTTGCCAGAGATAAGGAGTTCAACAGAAGGTCCACTTGGACTGTTTCATCATAATGTTAGAAGAAAAAGATTGAGGTGGAAAGTGGGAAGTGCTCATTTGTACAGGTAATTGTCTTGGACAGGTGATCTTTAAAGTGGGTTTACCTGTATTCATCTCACCTGGTTTTTTTCCTCCCTCCTCAGGGGGTGTTGACCTGCGTATGTTGGACCACAACTGGCTGCGGCAGAAGGTCTCCATGGTGGGCCAGGAGCCCACGCTGTTTGCTTACTCCATCCGGGAAAACATTGCGTATGGCCGAGGGGCCACAGACGAGGAGGTGGGTGCATAGGAAGCTCCTGAAATGAGTGTTGTATTGTATGTGGTTTTTACAAAGAGTTATATATATTATTTACCGTATATCGCATAGATTGTGAAATTGATGGGAAATTGAAATGTTTTTGGTATTACAAGTATGTGGTTGTTGCTCAGAGTTATATCTGTTTACAGCTCAGCACGCTGATAGCGAGATCAGTGGGAAGTGGAAATCTTTTCGTTATCTGTGAATTTACCCGCGCGTTCATATGACTTTATGTAGTTGTGAGCACCGTAAAACACTTACAAAAAACAAAAACAAAAATCTATGAATTTTGCTGTGTGCTTGTTAGAAATGGGCAATATGTTTGGAATCAAGGTAGATGTAAAGGATGTCGTACTATTTTACAAGTGTGATAGGGATAGTTTTTTCTGGTAGGTAATCAATAATGCTAGATGCAAGAAACCCTGGTGTTTTAAATCTCATAAGTCATGTAGACGTTGAGAGGAACTGAAACCTCTCTTTGAAGTCGACTTTGCTCTTGAGTATGAGATTGTATAAACAAGAATGTCACTTTTTTTAGAAAGCATTCACTCGTTATCATCAATGCTTGGTATTACAGTAGTGTCCGCCTAAGATCCTGGTGCTCGGGAGCATGGGTAATGCAGGATCTTAGGTGAATAGGATCTTACCTGATGCATCTAGGGAAGAATCTACGGTGACCTATGTTAAGGCCCACAACCAGTGAAATGGTCTCCTTCCACTGTAAAATGAACTGACGTAACTTCTGGGTGGGTTTATGATATATGGCGAACAAAGAGTGGTCAACTTTGATGACCAGTCGCAGCAGCATGAAGCATGCCATTTTCACTTATTATCCTATCGTGAGTCTCAGGATCTGCACTTATCCTGTTGCCCCTCCCCTTTACTTGCTCAAAATTTATAGCTTTCCATCTCTGACAAAGTTCCCCCGTCTTTTTCGTTACGCGCCATTACGTTGTGAACTCATAAATTAAAATTCAGTCTGTCTCGCAAATTTGGGAGTATAAAAAACTGCAGCAATGGTGTGCGAACTTGTAGGCCCTGCCCACCCAGCGAGTGATGTAAGTTTAGTTGGAGAGCTCAGATGCGAGTGTGATGTTTGGGGAAAACTAACGGCTTGATCGAGTTGTACAATGCTTATGTGATCACATTCTCAAGAGTGGCTGATCTTTTACGTGATGGGCTGTTCAAATTATAATTATAGTTCAATGATCTAAACTTTTCACTCTTGGTTGATCGGCTGTGCCCGCCAGGGTTTTTGTTACGTAAATTATGATCTGAAATTCGGGATCTTCGCCGAATGTAGACTTTTCAGAGTGAATCAGAGTGAGATTTTAGATGTGACTTTTGTATTGTAAAAATTCTGTTTCCTTAAAACACCGGGATCCTAAGCAAACCGGGACTATGAGCGGTGGGATCTTAGGTGGAGACTACTGTAATACAGATTCACCAGCAGAGCAGGCAAAAAAAAGTTTTGTTCAGTTTTTCCATCAGCGGTTTCGGTTAAACAATCATGCTCGTACTCTTAATTTGGGACTTTTTTTCTCCCAACATAAATAGGGGACTCATATTGTAGACAGCCTTGGCAGGATACAGCAGAGGATATATTAGGTTGTTGATTGTGGCGTCAATAGTCTAGAGGCCAGGCTACCGGACTAGTATTAGTGAGGTTGCGGGTTCAGGGTTTGGAGCCTCAGGCCCGATGTTATGTCCTTGGGAAAGACACTTTACACGAATTTTCCTTTCTTCGCTCCGGTGGGAATGGATACCTGGCCATTGCAGCAAAACATCCAGGCGGTATGTTAGTGTTCTAGTGCCTATAAAATGTCAGCTTGCATTTTATGCTTCCCAGTAAGTTGAGATTATTTTAGTATGCTATCAGGTCCCCTGGGGTAATGATATAGATTGAAAAGCGCATAAAGCTTGCTGTTGAATGGAAATATGTGCTATACAAATGCTGTCTATTATTGATTGGTTCAGCCGCGGTAATGCAGATCGTCAACATATTGTTGGTCATCCTGGAATGAGTTAATAGTGTGGCTTTTTCTTTTGATTGACCGATATCCTATGTTCTCTCAGGTACAAGATGCTGCCAAGCAAGCCAATGCTCACGAATTTGTGTCCTCGTTTGAGGAAGGGTACAACACGCTGGTGGGAGAGCGAGGCGTGCGCTTGTCGGGCGGGCAGAAACAGCGCATTGCCATAGCACGCGCGCTCATCATGAACCCTGTGCTGCTCCTGTTGGATGAGGTGAGGGAGAGGCATATGCGATGAGTTTACTGATTAACTTTGTAATGTAACTTATTTTTAAAAAGGCAAGTGGGTGATTGATGGGTGCTCTGGTGTGGTTTGCTTCTTCTGTCCTATCAAACGTCTATTGTCCTTATCTCTCCTTCTTTTTTTATGCTTTTTACTCTCTTGTAGCACCTCTAATCTTCGGCACTTGTATGACCAAATTTTGTTGTGAGTGCCACAAAACTCTTACTAAAACAAATGAAAGGCATTCTTATGACGTAGAGACCTTCATTCATATTGTCCAGTTTTGTTTGCTTTGCTTTGAGTTAAGAGAAGCACGTATGTTGACTCGATAACGGCCATTTAGATCAAGGAAAAAGCATGATGGATAGAAATAACAGTGGAAAGAATAACAGAGAGTTAACCAGTGACACCCTCCCACCATCCACACTTTAAAAACTGCAACTGTGTAAAAATGTGCCATTTTGTGGATAATAAAGTGTTTCTTATCCTATATTGTCATATCCGAATTTGTCTCTACTCAGCTTAACCCAATCTTATGAAAATTTTGTTAAAATCTTACAGTAAAATCATTTTCTATCTTTAGTATTCTTCTCTTGTCCCTTTTTAATCTCATCTGATTTCATTTATCAAATTAAAAATAATGTTTTCTCTTCTTTCTTTGTTTCATCTCTTCTAATCTCATTTCATTTTAAAAATTAGTTTAAAAAATATTTAAATCTCTTCTTCTCTTATCTGTTCTCACCTCATCTCATATTGTCACTGTTGCTAGAGAAATGAGTCACTCCAAAGTTGTTGTTTTTTTACTCACCCTGTAAATGAAGGTCAAACAGAGTTCTGCATTCCTCTTGTGGCGGCAGGGATATTGTTTTATCATATTCATTAAATCTCATCAGCTCTCGTCATGTTTTATGAATGTGGTTGGTGGGTGCTGTGATGTGGTTTGCTTCTTCTTTTGTATCAAACATCTACCATCCTTATCGCTCCTCCTTTTCTTTGTACGTTATTCTCTAGTAACTATTATTATTGTTATTATTGTAATATTATTATGATAATTATTATATGATTTATTTGTGTTCTAATTGCTGTAAAAATCTTTTACTAAAAATAATCTTGTATCATCTCGTCCATCTCGTGATATTTCCCAACAGGCCACGAGTGCTCTGGACGCTGAGAGTGAGCACCTGGTACAGGAGGCCATTGACCGGGCCATGGAGCGGCGGACGGTCATCGTCATTGCTCACAGATTGTCCACTGTCAGGAACGCCAACAAGGTAGGAGAGGGGGGAAAGGGGAAATTTTAGGCCTTTCCATGAAAAATTAAATTGGGATGACATACTTATTGTTATAATAATATGATAATAAATTGAACATTTTAGTGTACACATCCCCGCTTGACAGCAAGCTGTATGCGCTTTACACGATATGTAGAGGTAATGACCAGCTGAAAAAAATTGTGAGCAGGGAAAGAACTAGTCTTTAAAATTGTATATTTTTAGTTAGAGGCAGCCTTCTTCTAACAAATAGAAAGAAACCAAAAAAAACCCCCCAACCCTGTTCTGTCTCTGCTAAGAATTATTTTTTTGCAGGTTATTACACCCGTATTACGTGTTGTCACTAGCAGGTTAACTTTTCATGGAACAGTTGTTCTGTGCATGAATTGTCTATTGATTTGTGACTTTATTGAGGAGGGAGTTTTTTTCTGTTGAGGTAGAGTAATTGTTTCTCATGTGGAGTACAGTTAACCTAACCTGCTCTAAAGACCACCTGCTCCAGTCTGTGGGAGAGCCACTGGAAAAAACCAGACGGGTAACAAACTCCACAATATTAAATCCAAACTGGGACCGCAAAATCCTTCGGACCTCTCCAGAATAGACGAAGTCATTTTTACTCAATTACGCATTGGACACACGGCCCTAACACACAAATACCTCCTTCAGGGAGATGAGAAGCTGTTCTGTTTCGGATGCGACACAGATTTTACCATTAGACACATTTTAACCGAATGTCAAGAATTCGGAGAGACATGAAGGAAATACTTTAAACGCACAAAATTACAAGATATTTTTTCTGTCGTTGTTCCTAACAGAATTTTAGATTTTATAAAGGCCATTGGCCTTTATGGAAAGTTATGAAATAGATTGTTCGAAATTTTAAAGTGTTATTTAGAAAGTTGATTTAAATTTAAATCTAAAGCCTATTTACACTCGAATTTTAGCGCTTAAAAAATTTTTAATAGAAATATTGACCTGTATCAAGCCGAGAAATGAACCGTTGAGAAAAAACCAACTTGTTTCACGCGTTCATATGACCTTATGCAGTTGCGAGCGCCGTAAAACCCCAAACTAAAATAAAAAACAAAAAGACCACCTGTTCAAGACAATGACTTGTACAGCTGACCCCTCCCCCCATTTTTTAAATATTATAATGACTCTGTCTAAGATGACCACTTTTTTAAAACTACAATAGGTGGTTCTCTTGGACATGTTCAATTCCGGGTTTGTGAAAGTGTGTACTTTCATTTCATTCACCCACAGCAAATGGTATGCACACAACCAAACCTAATGCTGAAGTAAAATATTCGTCTTACATTATTGTTTTTCCCCGTCTACTGTATGGTCATTTAGCAATAGGGTTTACCTTATTCTAGACTCTAGACCTCTTTCTCCAGAAGACACCAGTGAAAAGTTTGACAATCCATTGTAGACAAAAAAAAGCTATTTTAATTTTTCAATCAAATCTTTCTCTTTTTCTTTCTTTGAAGGTTATCGTCATCGATCAGGGAGAGATTGCTGAGATGGGCACACACTCGGAGCTACTGGCACACGATGGGGTCTACAAACGCCTGGTGCTGCGACAGCTGATGGCCGGGGATGACTCGAGGGACGACGGCCTGCTGGACAGTAGCAGCGAGGAGAAGAAGAAACAGCTTGACGGACCGTCCGCTGACCGAACTGACACGGGTGCCGCTGCGACGATAGGGGGGCAACTACAGACGGAGAACGGGACTGGTGGTAAAGAGGGTTTTGTTAACGAGGGCTTTCACAATGATTCTGTTGATCATCTTCATTGATGTCAGTTGTGGATTAAGATTGTTTCGTTCTAGTGTTCCATGCAAAGATTTAATCTAATATTTATGATCTCTTAAAGATGAATGTTATTTAAACCGTTAGGTATTTAGTGACCACGGCAGCCGCAGAGTTTTAAGAGTACCGGCAAATGTATATGACATTTTTTTTACTTCTATGGATGGTTGTTATTTAAAGTGCAGGAATATAGTGATGAACCACAGACCATTAAGAGTAGATATACATTTTTTGTTTGACTTAATGAAATGTATGTATGAGTCGTTAAAAAGAAATATAGATAAGTATTTTTAGAGTTTTATAGTTAGTCTTTACAAGCTTATGTGAAATTTGACCAACTATGTTCAAGGAAAGCTAACTTTGCCAAAGTGCCATAGGAATAGTTATGTTGTGTGATGTGCAATTACCAACTATAAATGTTTAACACTCTGTATGTACACAATGTAGACCATTTAAGGCCAGTATGGATGAGTGGGGTATTGCACCCCAGCAGACAGACAGAAAAACCTGATAAAATAATTTCCCCTTTCACGAATCAGTCGCATGCATCAAATCAATTTGTGCAGTGATTTTGCTACATTCAAGGTTCCTTATGTGTCTCATCTCAAAATGTGAGGCAGCTTGGTGAAATCGGGCGCTCGTTAAAATAATGAAATTGAAGAAACTGTCCTTTCCCTGCCAGTTTGACCATTTTCATTGATTTTTTTGTGGAAAGGGGGGGCTCAACACTTTTTCTGTCCTTTCAAGAACATTTCTGTGTGGAGGTTACTGAAAAATGTTGATTAAAAGCACACAAAATGTAGGTTTTCAGTTACCATGGGCTCTCGAGCTATGGAAATAATCAAACTTTGGCAGCCATTTTCTTGCTAGTTTAATCCTGAAACATCCTTCATTTGCAGACACCTCTAATTCTATTCAAGATAAGTGGGTATTTTTAAAAATTGAAGGCAAGACAAATGAACAAGCTTTAAGATGATACGAATGACTCCACATGCCCCAAAAATTGACGAGCGCCTGATTCCACCGCGTTGTGACACAACTGTTTCTTGCATAAAAATCCATTACTTTCAAAACAATGAACATGGACATAATCGTCTCTAGCTCTCTGCCGATGAAATATGCAAAGTGATAGAGCATTTCGAAGTAAATGACTTTTGGGGAACTGGCTGATAGTTTCATATCTGTATAGAAAGTAATTTAAAAAAGAAATGGAGAATCTATTTGTGTGTTTTGATGGAATAGAATCTATGATTGTCATGTTATGATTGTTTGTATTGAATCACGTAAATGAGTAACTGTTTTTTTCCCACTTTTAGCCACCTTGGACTGTTGAGGCAAGCATTTATGTGTATTTTCACTCCTTTGTTGTGAATGAGAGTCATTCCTCATGTGTTCAATAATCTGCCTTAGTTTGGTTTGTGATTTGTCAGGCCTTTTGTCACCTGTTACTGTCTCCCTCATGCCGCCTGATTTGGATATTGGAGTAATGTTCATGAACATTGACATGGGCAGAATATCGTGTACATTTGAGTGTAGTGTCTATAAACATATAACATATTCATCAGTGAAAGGGGGAAAAGGAGGAGGAGGAAAGGGGGGGGCTGGAAAGAAGGAGTAATACTTTGTCAGGGTAGTGCATACATTTTGAATCAGTGACCCTATACCTATCCATCGGTAATGGGAAAGAGAGAATAAGAAGGAGAAGGAGAAGTAAGCTTTATTACTGTTGTTTCTAAGTGTGTGTCTGAAGACGGCGCTTATACTGCTCTCATACTGTACAGTAGGAAGTGAAAGGAATAGCACATGCAGCTTACTGTATATATTGTAATTTCCAACCAAAATGTTTATGGACAAGTCATATAAGATATTGTGAACCTGCGTGTACACTCAGGATTTAACAACTCCTCTTTACCAATATTTACTTAGTGATATTTGTCTATGTCTACTTTTTCCAAAGAGCCAGTTAAAAAAAAAATAGTACCAAGGAACAGTAGAACTGATATTCTATTTATGTACAAAGTTCTGTTGAGTGTGTTTAATCAGCAGGACAGATAGCAGCTGGAGCAAGTTCAACTGTACTTCACATAAGAAGCAATTACATTATCTCTGTACTGCAAGCACCCACTTCAATTTTCCAAAGAGCCAGTTTTTTTTTTCAAGTACAGTAGAACTGACATTCTGTCTCTGTATATAGTTACTGCTGAGTACATGTATATATATCTTTATTTTTACCCTCTTTTCTCCATATTTTTACACATTTTTGAACCCATAAGCACGTCTCATATATCTACTCGAGAGTTTGGGATCGTGTTGGAAGTCACCACAACCTTTTTATTCTATATTGTTCCGCAGTCATTGTTGTCTTTTGCATCGTATCTTGTAATGACAGTCCTGTCAGTCTTAGACGACCATTCATTGTTGAGGAGAAAAGTGGTCATCTTGGACAGGTGGTCCTCTTGGAGAGTATCATTATAAAATTAAGAAAAAAATAAAAACGTTTGGGGATGGAGGAGGGGAGGGGGTGGTTGTTGGTTGTTTGTACAGGTGGTTGTCTTGGACATGTGATTGTTCGAGCAGGTTTGTCTGTACTTTGTGTGAGTGGATGGAGGGCATCTCTGGTTGGTCCTACTTCTTCTCATTTTCTCTCTTGTTTCTGTTTGTGTATCTTGCCTTGTCTATCCATCTTGCCTTTTCTGTGTTCTTTATTATGATCGTTATTATATTTGAGGCAGCGTGGGGAAATCAGGTGCTCATCAAAATAACCAAAGTGAAGAAACTGGCATTTTTCTGCAGGTTTGTGAATTTTTATCTAATTTTTATTTTTTAGCTCAACACCTTTCATGCCCATTAAAGAACACACTTCTGTGTAGATTCTTACTGAAAAACATTGATTAAAGTCAAAGGCACAAAAAATGTAAATTTTCAGTTTTATCAAACTCTCAAGCAAAGAAAATACCTCACATTTGGTGGCCATTTTGTTACTAATTTTACCTCTGAAACCAGTTGACCCCCACCTTATTCATTCCAAATATCTCGACTTCTATTCAAAATAAATGGATATTTTTTCATCAAAAGCAAGACAAATTATCAAGCTTTCAGATGATACCAATAACTCCACATGCTCAAGAATTGACAAGAGCCTGATTCCATCGCGTCGTGACTCATATCATATTGATGTGTTTCTTTTAAATCAGAGGGAACTAGAATAAGAACTTTGTGTTTTTATTATTCTTTTCTTTCCTCTCCTCATTGCATGGTCTTTGTTTTGCTTGTTGTCACTGTTCCTTTTGTTATCATGCATGCAAATTATTTATACCTTTCTGTACATGGAAAAGTTCAGTGGTATTGTAGATGTGTCTCAAAGTCAAACCTTTGTGTGTTTCATGCTGCAACTTTTGTGTTCAGTGTGCTATGCTATTATTTGTTTAATGGTATAACTATAATTTGTTTTTGTTTTGGTAAGAGTTTTACCGCACTCTTGACTGTATAAGGTCAAATGAGCGTGCTTGTATAATTTATATTATGCTTTAAGTTCTGAAGCAGGACATACAAAGATTTATTCTGTGGACTCCTAAAGTGATTTGTAGTTAGACATTATGAAAAATGGAATTGTATTTACTGCTCTGGGACTTGTCGAATTTTAGGCTGAGACATGAAAAATGGTTTGAGCCATGGTTCCTGAAACAATGCTCAGAGATTTGGGGGCTGTCCATGCTGAATCAAAGAGTGATGGAGTTTGGCAATCTTAACTCTGTCACAAATCTTCGTCACTTGCTAACATTTTTGTAAACTTTGAATATGACCTCATGGAATTTATATGTTACCTTTGTATGAAATTTTTTTGTTTTTCATTATCTGTTCAATGGAATTAAGAACAGAGAGACGGCACTTTTATGTAGTACTTGAAAAGTAAAAGTGTTTTGTGGGGGTGGCTGGACAGTGCAGCTGGTAGATCATACTTCTTTGTTTTCCTTGTGTTGTTTCTGTGCGTGTGCCATTCATGCCTTTTCCAGCACTGCATGACTTTTGTTGTTGCTGTTATCGACCCAGCATATGACTTTTGTCCTGTCGGTATGCTTCCCCATACTCATGATTCACTAAGGACAGATTAGTGCTCTTTAGTGAACAGATGATCAAAGACATTTTATTTTACATAATGTGCTTTGCTCAAATTTATAGATTGTTATGTTTACAAATATTGCATGGGTGCTTCTTCAGATTTTTAATGAGTTCGTAGACGTACGTGATAAAATAATTTTTAGAACTATTCCTGGTCAGACTCGTGTTAAATGTTTTGCACATTTTATTTATATAAATACCGGTTCCAGCCAAAGTGAACAAATATCTAAGATTTATAACTGTTTTCTTTAACACAGGTTGCCATGGCATGCAGTTTCCTTGTTTGTTAAAGCTTTGTCTTTGTATTAGTTCTGGAATTTTGGAATAACATGTTGGAAAATTTGGTGTTGTTGGTCTTAAATCATCCAGGAGGTGTCTCAAGTGAAACTGGTTGTGATGCTGGACTTAAGTGCGGATGACCCTGGTTCAAGTCCTCAATAGGGGGTTCTTTGACTTTGGTTGTTTGGAAAGTTTTTAAAGCTCTTCACCTACTGTTTGTTGGAGATGAATGTTAAATTGGAAGTTCAACAACTTCTTAATTTTAAAGTGTTAGAGAGGGGCATTAGGTAAATCGATACCACACATACCATTCCATCAGATGGGTCACTTTGACTCTAGATTCAAGCCTTGTAAAAGTCTGCCTTTAGAGTTTAGGGCTTTATAATATATGTAACGAGTCTGTTTCATCCAAAAATTTTCTGAGAATGCAGGTAACATATGAACTGTATTCTGGAGACCATACTTCATCTGTGATATGTGATTTTGTAAGTTGTAAGATAAAGACATGTTTCATTGTTCTTGATTCTTGAGTAAAAATACATGTACAGTGTAATGTCTGGTATTTGTGACCGTAGATACTGCTTTTGTTTGGCAAAGGGTAGTATCTTTTGAATACATCAATGTTGTGTAAGGATTGATCAGTATCAATACACACACTGGCGTTCACACACATACACACACACACACATACACACATACACACACTCACACACACACACACACACACACACGCATTCACTCACACGCATTCACTCACACGCATTCAC